TGGGCCAATTTCCTATAGGAACCTATAGGAAATTCTATAGGATCCTATAGGATATTCTATAGGATCCTATAGGAAATTGGGCCAATTTCCTATAGGAACCTATAGGAAATTCTGTAGGATCCTATAGGATATTCTATAGGATCCTATAGGAAATTGGGCCAATTTCCTATAGGAACCTATAGGAAATTCTATAGGATCCTATAGGAAATTTCCTATAGGAATCCTATAGGAAATTTTCGTAAGGGAGAGGAAGAGAAAAATGCTGCTTTTCTTTTGTATACTATTCCTTTGCAGTTATTTAAACATAATGAATAGAAATAATTGTGTGTGAAATTAATATAATACCTTGACCATTGTTTATTCATTTACTAGAAGTGCATTTATCAAATTGCATTATGCACAGAGTCTTCAGGACTTAAAGTGGGATAAAAATATAACCAACAAGACAGAGATGATAGTCCTTTCTTTTTTGGAAAATTTAACATTTCAAGGTAAAAAAAAAAAAAAAAAAAAAGAGAAATTGTGAAAAGACAGAGGGGGTCCCTTCTTTGTTATTTGAAAGGTGTATTGGTTACTGGTTGCAAGCCATACATTTGGTATAGTTATATACACAATTTTGGTTCTAGGTTAATGAAATGAACCTGAGAAATGATGGAAGAACTTCTGATCAAGTCCGTCCCATTTGTAAGTATGTTTGAAATCTTTCTCTCTCGCTCTCTCTCTCTCTCTGTTGCATAGCACACAGTCCCTTAATTAGCATGAAAATTCAGGCGTTAGCATTCCTATTAACCATTCTGATATGTACTGGCTGTGCTAACGCATGAAAGCAAAGGCCTCAAAAAGTGGGAAATGAGGACCAGTTGCTGAACCAGCCATGGTGCGGCAGCTCTCAAATTTTTATTTTACATCTCATCTCCTCAACACGCACTTTACTGTGAAGCCAACATGTTTCTCTTCTCTCTCTCTCTCTCACACACACACACACACACACACACACGCTTATGATCTCTCTCTCTCGTCCATTCTCATAGATATGTAATTTCCATCCTTTACATGATGCTAATAGCATACACTAGTGTTTATTTATTGTACTAGTAGTCTTAAAATGTACTACAATTTTATTGACATTTGATAAATTTTGTTTTTCTTTCTAGTTTTAAAATCTGGGGTCATAAGCCAAGCCAAAGGGTCTGCCTATCTTGAGATGGACAAAACAAAGATCATGTGTGCAGTGTGAGTTTTTGGATTTTTAATTTAATATAATATAAAAATGCCCCTCATTTTTTAAAATAAAATGATTTAGACAATGGCTTTGGTCAGATTATCCAGGAGCTTTATTGGCAACTATGTTTTAATAATTTTGGCATTTGCAGAGGAAAATGTTGTATAAGGTGTATGTGTATTTGCCAGATATTTAGGATAGTTTATTGTGCTATTTTTATATAGTTATTTTCATTCTACAGGTTATGTGTCTGTATATTTTCCAGCGACTGGATAGTTAATATTTCAATATGTAATATTTATTCTCCAGGTATGGCCCTCGACAGGTTAGAAGAGAGGACTTCAGTCTGCAGGGACAACTCACCTGTGAGTTCAAGTTTTTAACTTTCTCCTGCAAGTATAGGCGGCAGCACCAGCAAGACAACCAGGAGAAAGACTATTCAGTGATATTATTAGAGGCATTAGAACCAGCTGTAAGACTGGAGAAGTTCCCAAAGGCCAAGCTTGATATTTTTGTGACAGTTTTGGAAGATGATGGAAGTTGTAAGAAAAACTTTAATTTCAATTGCCATTTTGTTAGATTACTTTGCTTTTTTTGTCTTTTTTTTAAATAAATTTGCCAAGGTGAATTTAGTTGGTTTTATTTACTTTAAATATAATGGGCGTCAAAAATGTTCATTTCTGTATTGACCGATAAAGTTTAATTACTGCTAATATTAATATTGTTTATATTTTGAATTTCAAAGGTGTCATTGTAAGATAAAGTTGTTATTGAAGATGTGTACTTTGGGTTCCATTTTATATGTGAAAATGAAGGAGGACTGTATACGTACATTTCATCATAAGAGAATTAGGAGGAAGATATTTTTGTGTCCATTCTATGAATCAGTGTATTTATTTTTTTTCTCATTTCAGCTTTAAGTGGAGCCATTACAGCAGCCTCAGTGGCACTGGCAGATGCAGGGATAGAGATGTATGATCTTGTTGTTGGGGCTGCTCTGGTGAGGCATTGGACATTGTGCTTATACTGCCACACCTAACGCATCTGGTGGCACACCTAACACATCCAGTGTCACACCTAACGCATCTGGTGGCACACCTAACACATCCAGTGTCACACCTAACACATCCAGTGTCAAACATTAAACATGAAAACATACATTGCCACACCAGACACAACACAGTCCGTGTCCTACAAAACACATTCAGTGCCATGCATTGCACATTCAGTCAGACACCAAACACATTTAATCAAACACCTAGGACATTCTATGTCAGGCCTAACAATTTTAGTGAAACGCCTAACACATCTCTTGTCACACCTAACACATCCAGTGTCACACCTAACACATCCAGTGTCACACCTAACACATCTCTTGTCACACCTAACACAAACACTCCGTACCCCATGTGACGCATTCTGTGTTACACCTAACACATTCAGTCAATCACCTAGCATTTTAAGTGTCACACTCATTATACAAATTGAACAAGAGCCACATACAAAAATATTTCTTTTAGTTATGTCCCATTTTACAGTGTTCTCAAGCAGATATATGACACTTTGTATCACACCCTAATTATCACACCCAGTGCATTATAATAACACCTAAATACTCCGTGTCACATCTAACACAGTCAGTGTCACATTTAAAATAACAGGTCAAACAAGCTTAATAATTTGATATTTTCACATTTAAAAACAGACAACCTTGGCACTGCCTATACAATTTGTGTCACAATTAACGAACTATATCATGCCTGACACATTGATTAACAAAATTAATACTCTTTCTCTCTCATTTAATCTATGTCAAAACTTGTACAGAGTCACATTTAATACACTGTGCAATTCTAATTATATCATTGATGTCACTTCTAAATAATTTCAGTGCTCCATTAAACAAAACCATGCATTTTTATCTTCATATTATATTTTGTTTTTAGTTACTTTTAATTATGCATCAAAATGATTGTGTATTTTTAAATTATTTCTTTAATAATTTCAGAGACAAAATGGGAAGATGGTACTAATGGACCCCTGTGGACCAGAGGAATATAGACCAGAGGTGGGTAAAATAAAAAATATTTTTTCACTTCCAAGTCTGACCAACTAAAATTAGGCTTTTATTTCAGTTGACTCCCTTCTTTCTTGAGAGATAATTGTTTTAGTTTACATACTCTGCATTACTAGCCAACTAATGAACTACAACTGTGGATTTGCCTTGTAATTTTAAAAATAGTGAAATTCCTAAAGGTTACATGATATAAATAGTCTGCTTGGGCCAATAGACATTTAGTATTTTTTTCCTCTCTCAGAAGACTATGCATATAATGAGTTAATAGGCATCATCCAAAATGACTTAAAAGAGGCTGATTAGATTGCTTAATGTTATTTGACACAAAAAAGAAGAACAATCTCTCTGAACTCAGAAGTGGGGTTAACTTTTAATAAATAAGCAATTATGGTGGAACTAAATACACTGAGAATGTCGTAATAGAAAGCAATACAAAAATGTTATACCAAACGTGGGGTATAAACTGTGTGTGGAAGAGATTGAGGCTAGATTCTCCTTATTTTCAGAGAGCACCAGCAGAGGTGAACCAGGGCAGTATCACTGTGGGACTGATGCCCTCTATGCACCAGGTGGCAGCACTGGCTTTGAGAGGAGAACTAGATCAGCAGACGACAGCCAAGGTGAGTTTTGATTGGTCAGTTTATGGCACGTTTTTGACCTACTGCTTTATATATATATATTTTTTAAATATTTTTTGTACTTAACCCCGAGGCTTAAGTTTTATTTAATTATGTTAATATATGTAAAAAAATTAAATATTCATCTTTTTCTCTTTTATATACAGGGCATCAAATTATGTATAGAAACTTGCCAGAAAATTTATCCAGTGGTGCAAGAATGTCTCATACAATCAGTGAAGAAAAAGCTTGCAGAGCAGAAACCAGAGTGATTTGTGAAGTCTGCAATTTTCTTGAGGACAAGTGCCGTGATTCGCAAGCAAGTGGTGCCCCTAGTGAGAGGAATGGAAACCAGTAGCTGGCACTGGAATCCAATTGCCAGGGCAATGGTACTGACTGGAGAAATTATTTGGTGTAAAAAGCAGATGTTTACACAGATGTTGCAACAAATTATGTTTTTTCTTAATAATTGTAACCGTGTTTTAGCTACTGCTAAATGGGTTTATCTGAAAGATTTCCAAAACCTGTTGTTGTCAGTTTTAACATACACACTCATGCAGAGAGAGAGAGAGAGAGAGAGAGAGAGAGAGAGAGAGAGAAATTGGAAATAAAAGAAAACTGGCAAAGCAAATTGCTAAAATAAAATATTGACCTGAAACGTTTCAAATAAAATTTAGTGAAAGCATTCCTCGTGTCGTTATGATGTGTATTGGCATATGAAACATCACAGTCGTTTGTGAAGAATTGTTTAGGGTTTTTAGGATGCTTCTAACTAGAATTAAGATATATATCTATTTTTTTATCTGGGGTCATCAATAGCAACAGCTTATAAACCGTTATACTTTCGTTGTCCATTTTATGATCAAAAGCTCCCACCCTTTCCTGGTAAAGTACCTTTGTCTTGGGAGTTCTACCCCCTTTGTTATATTTAGTTAAACAAAATGACGGTGACAGAATGGTGATCAGAATAAAAACAGACATAGACTGCATTCCCACAGATTTTAGATGATCTATCCCCGTGGGGAGCCTCGCTAGATTACTGTCAGCTTAGCCGGCTTAAATGTCTGTCCTGCCCATTAAAAGCTGTAAGGGGATAATTAACTTTCGTGCGCGCTCGGCTGACAGCAATTTAGCATGAACCCCCAGGGAGTTAGGTCGATCCAGATGGATCGATCTAAATCTGTGGGAATGCAGTCTTAGGCTGCATTCAGATCAGTTGACTGACTAGTCCGAGGGTCAAATAAACTACCGAGCTACTTGAATGCTTCCCCCTGTGGAATTTATTCAGTGTCTTTCAGTACATTAAACTGCAAGCTTTTTAGCGGGTCGCCATATTTGATCCGCGGACTGGTTAGTTCACTGTTCGTGTCTGTACATAAAAACTTTAAAATAAGCGCAACCATGCCGACAACTGTACTTTTAGCAGAAACGATGACAAATTTAATTCATGCCACCGTTAATCTGATTTAAGATAGATTTAGAAGAGCACGTCTTCAACGAATATCATATTCCAGTACTTAACGGTGAATAGGGTGACGCTTAATATACGCTAAGCCTGATAACGGCGTCAAAGGTTGCGTGGAAACTCATTACTTTTTTATCAGTTAATCTAATCAGACAAACCATCCGTCCTATTATTACGTCAAAAGCCCCCAGGCGCGATCATATTCCAGGAAAATCGGATCAGCATCAGTTAATGATTAAACGTCGTGAATTATGGATAGATGCTCCCCTGGGACGTTTGGCTTAACCCTGGGCTTTATTCTATTACTAGAGAATTTCTGTCTTCTTATAATGACGATCGTACATTTATTCAGCATGAGATGCATTAGGCTAAAAGATAAACAAAAAAATAATAATAATAATAATAATAATGAATAAATAAAAAAAAGAGAGAGAGATTGTGTGTGTGTGTGTGTGAGAGAGAGAGAGAGAGCCCTGCAATGCCTTGAAGTAAACAGAGACGTAGCAGAACAGAGGAGAGCCATTGTGCTAGCGGCAGATAAGAAAAAAACGTCCCAACGCTCCGGTGCTGGTAATTTTCAGGTCGTTCAGAAGAACCTGATGCCACAGTGTTTTATCTCCCTCGGCATATACATCCAATTGAAATAACGACCCGTTACACTGATGTACATCATTTAGGAGACTGTACTGGCTGCCGCTATTTGGCGTATAATCATCGTATATTAACGACTTGCAGTTTAGTACTGGTGAAAGGAACTACGTGGTTTAGAAACCTTTATTGCTCGGTGCTAGCGTTGAAATGCAGGCTACAAAAGCAGCGGTGTGGGTAATGGTGGTTGTCGCACTAGGATGTCTGGTACAGCAAGGTTAGGGGTGTCTTTATTATTTTATTTATATTGATTATGACGTGATGTTATAATGTGAATTATGTGTGCGATTTAATGTATGTACTGTTTTATGCCTTTCACTCTTGGCGTGTTAATAAATAAAATAAATGTATACTTCCTTTCTTTATTAGTTTATTAATTTATTTACTTATTTAGTTATTTTTCTAGTTATTCTTTTTTTTTACTATTTTCATTTTGTTTGCATCTTAATTACTTATCAGTATATTTATCCATCTACATTCTTGATCTATAAGGTTGCCTAGCTGATTGTTCATTGTTTTTCAAGGTTGTCTTTCACTGTCCTGTATATAAAGTTCGTATTATTGAACATTGATATGTGAAACAGTCTGAATCTCTGCAGCGATAGCTGCTTTTGGACGATTTCGATATAGAGATGTACTAATAATCAATGAAAAAAAAAAAAAAAAAAAACGAGTGAAAAGCGCCGAGACAGCTGGATCGAAATAAGCTCGTTTTTGACTCATACTGGTAGTGGATATACTTTATCGACGATTGGTATATTGCTGAAATATCCGATATTCTAATTTTAATCTTATACTTAAAGGGTACAAATCAGGATTGTATGCTCTCTAATTCATGGGATCATTCACTAGGAAACTGTCGGTCTACGTAGCTTGATCTAACTCCGCAGGGACCTTCGCTGAATGAAAACAGATTAAGATATTAACATGCTCACTCTTGGCATTGAGGAGAACACTGACAAGCTGGTTATTATACGCTATGATCTCTACATTAAACGTTGGAAACAAGAGGAGGTGTGTTAATCTAACTTTGAACCTGACTGCATTCAGCAAAGGTCCCCGCAGAGTTGGATCGATCTATGTAGACCGATAGCTTCATTGGGATCGACGCCTACTAGTATATTCATTATGCTTCCAGACGAGTCATCAGTCTGTTACCCAGGATTCTGTCATTCAAGATGTCGAAATGGGCTCCTGCACCGTGGAAAGAAATTTCTCACAGGGCAGTGTCAGGGCGACGCGTGCCAATGCTCCAATTCGTGTGCGCTGGCGAAGAGCCAATTTTACTGGCCACAGGGGGCGTGCCAGGACTTGTGTGACGAGATCTGGGGCTCGATCTCGCGTGGCGGGGAATGCGAGAGCGAGAATTTCAACCTGTGTCGTTGTTTGTAATACCACGTGAATATTGTGACCTCTTCTTATTACGAACAACAATAAGGAAACCATAGAAAGACGCACAGAGGAGTACTAGTAGAGCACACTTATAATTCGACGGAGCATATCCAAAGACTTGTTTAGCTGTTATTATGAGAGTTTGAGGTTACCGTGATAAAGTTTGTGAAATGGTTATAACGGTACAAATGTAACTCCGTAGAGTTAACTACTAGAGCACGGACTTTCGCCACGGAATATGCAATAAAATCGTTAAAAATATTAGAAAAAGCTTGGATCCAGTTGAAAGTATGATCAACTTTTAATTGTTCTCTTGATCAAAAATAACTCAAAAATAACTTTTTGACATGCCTTGTTAAATTAAAGCTTTCAGCATTACGTCTCTTTAGCAGCTTTTATTTCTATTATCGTTTGCTTCCT